TTCCTTCCCCTAATTGTTGTGAGTTTCTATCTTTAGTCTTCTCCCTGGCTTTATCTATGGTTTCCCATATTTCTAGTATTTTCCGTATTCCTACTCTCCTTCCTTGGTTTTTCTTCTAAGTCTCCAATGTTCCAATAAATAAATGTAATTTAAAGACTCTTTCATAGATCCTCCATATCTCTCAAAACACTAAGTCTTAGAGGTGATTATGATGGCCTATGTAGTTGTGTCTCTATTTTTCTTTGTTGCTATTGTTGCCTTCTGGTTAGCAGTCCAAAGTGCCTTAAGCACTATGCTACCAGAGCTCCTAACCAAGAAAACCCTATGGAACAGTTCTACTCTGTAACACATGGGATTACCATGAATTGGCATCGACTCAACAGCAAAAAGGTTGGGAGGTTTTTTCTTTTTTTTTTTTAAATGTGGTTTAAACAGCAAACATTTATTATCTCACAGTTTCTGTGTGTTAGGAATTTAGGAGTGGCTTACCTGGGTGGTTCTGGCTCAGAATCTCTTAGAGATTGAAGTCAAGAGGTTGCACTGGGGTTGGAGGATCTGCTTTCAAGGTGGTTCACTCACAAGGCTGGCTGTAGTGCTGGTTACAGACAGGAGGCCTCAGTTCCTTGCCATGTGGACCCATAGGACTGCTTGACTATCCATACAATATGGCAGCTGGCTTCCCTTAGAGGCAGTGATGAGAGAGAGAGAGGAAAGAGATAGATGAAATACCTTTTATCACTGACTGAGTCTTGGAAGTCACACACCATCACTTCTGTCATATCTTACTGTAAGAAAGGAGAGGGAGAATTAATCTCCATCTCTTGAAGGGAGGAGTTATCAAAAATATTGAGGACATATTTAGTATCACCACATATGGTTTTTCTCATTTTTCTGTCTCCAGTAGCTGGTAGTATCTGGCTTTTATTAGGTGCTCAGTAGATGTTTCTATAACTTGTTAAAAGAAGAGATACTGGAGGCAGGGAGATTTATGGGTAATTAGTGTGGGTCAGGTATAGAATGGTGGAGACTGGCATGAAAGGAGAGTTGGTGGGAGAGATTTTATTTATTTTTAATTTTTATTGTGATTTGGGTGAAAATTTGCAGAGCAAATTCATTTTCCATACAGCAGTTCATACACATTTTGTTTCAGGACTTTCACAATGTAACAGCTCTCTTCCAGCTTCTTCCATTGCCACGTCCTTCTTTCCCATGCATTTCTGCCCTCCCAAGCTATCTCCCTGTGCCAGTGCTGCACTTCTGTTCTCCTATGATTGATTTCTTAAGGAGTGTATCTACCTGATGTAAATGTTCACCCTACATGCCTATTGTTTGCTGGAAGCCATAGGAATGAGTTCAGTTCCAGACCTGAAGGGTAACCAGGGGCCATAGTCTCAGGGGTCTCAGTAGGCTATATCAGACTAGTAAACCTGGTCTTTTTTCATGATTTTGAGTTTTGTTCCACATTGTTCTCCCACTCTGTCCAGGATCTCCTGCACTGATCCCTTTCCGAGTGGTTGACAGTTGTAGCCGGGCACCATCTAGTTTATTTTGTCTCATGGTCATAGACTGATGATTGCATGGCCTAATAGTCTCTTGGACTATTTCCATGTTTCCCTGGTTTTCTTCACTCTTCTTTGCTCTGGATGAGGACAGACCCACTGTTATATCTAGATGACCGCTTACAAACTCCTAATACCCCAGTTGCTACTTACCAAAGTGGGATGTAGAACAGTATTTTTGTGCAGTATGTCATGCCAATTGAGCTTGATGTCCTCCACAACCATGGTGGTTGGCTGTGGCCAAGAAGTTATAACTTTGCCCCTTGTTAGCTCTATTATATATTTGAGTATTCTTACAGCATATACAAATACATATGTAGAAATATCATCTGCCAACCTTATATGTGGTAATGGATATACTCCCTTTTGCCTAGAACTACCTGATTATATAGCCTGCCTATCCATCTATTTACCTATAGATTAATAAACAAATAACAAATTAATAAACAAATACTCAGCTGCTAACCAGAGACAATTCTAACCTATCAGCCCTCTGAGGGAAAAAGATGTGGCAGAAAGCTTTGGTAAAGATTAAAGTCTGTCATTACTGACAATGCAGTATTATATATTTAAAAGGATTTATCTTTCTTGTCTGTACCTCTTCCTTAGTGCCATGTTGATCACTCACTTTTGGTGCATTGCCCTTCCCTTCACCCATTTGGGTGAATACGTGTCTCTACCTATCTAACAGTGTTCTCTCCCCTCCCATCCCATCCCTGGTAACCAATAGTTTCTTTCCATATATAAACTTTTCCTTGACTTTTTCTACAATAGTAGACTAATAAAATATTTGTCCTTCTGTGATTGACTTATTTCACTCAGCATAATGTCCTCCAAGTTCATCCATGTCATGTGGTGTTTTGCAGATTCTACATTATTCATTAGGGTTGCTTAGTATTCCATTGTGTGTATGCACCGCAGTTTGTTTATCCATTCCTCAGCTGATGGGCACTTAGGTTGTTTCCATCTCTTTGCTATTGTGAATAGTGCTGCAATGACCATGGGTGTGCATATATTTGTTCCAGTCCTGGCTCTCACATCTTTAGGATTTGTACCTAGTAATGTGATTGCTGGATCAAATGATACTTCTATTTCCAACTTCTTAATCACCATACTGCTTTCCACAGTGGTTGAATCATTTTGCAGTCCCAACAGCAGTGTATGAAAGTTGGTGGGAGAGATTCTGAGGTTAAAATTCATGGGATTGGAAGACTAACTAAATGAGAAGGGTTGGGATTTGGATTGAAGATGGTTTCGGAACTAGGATGTAGAAGTGGCATGCAGTGCCTAAGGCATTTGACTGCTAACCAGAAGGCTGGCAGTTCACACCCATCAGCCACTCTGTGGAAGAAAGATGGGGCAATCTACTTCTGTAAAGATTTATCACACTTTGGGGTCTCTGTGAGTTGGAATTTACTCCATGGCAGTGGTTTTCTTTTTTTTTTTTTTTAAATCATGGCCAAAAGGAGCCCTGGGGGCTCAACAGTTAAGCACTCAGCTGCTAACCAGAGACAATTCTAACCTATCAGCTCTCTGAGGGAAAAAGATGTGGCAGAAAGCTTTGGTAAAGATTAAAGCCTTGGAACCTCCCTAGGGCAGTTCTACTCTGTCTTGTAGGGTTGTACTCTGCCCTATGAAGCAGAATTGACTACACAGCAACAAAGTTTTTTGGTGCAGTGGCGGTGATGAAAGAGCAAATCATGTGTCCAAGAACCCTAATTATTCAATTTTGACCCATAAAGAAATGAGTTTCATATGATTCAACATAATGGATGTGGATGCAGGCTGAAAAGTTGAACACATTTTCATAGATGGAAAACTGTGACACACTAGGGAGTTCTTGCAATCTTGTATATCTTATACCAAAAAAACCATTGTGCTATTGTGAATAGTGCTGTTGAGTCAGATCCTACTCATAGTGACCCCTCCTTGGGTTTCCAAGACAGTATCATTATAGAAGTAGATCGCCCAATCATCTTTCCTAGGTGTGGCTGGTGGGTTTGAACTGTCAGCCTTCTGATTAGCAGTCAAATGCTTTATGTACTACACCACCAGAGCTCCCTGTATAGAGAAACCGTTTGCCTGGGAAACCCAAGGAGGGGTTGCTATGAGTCCAATTGACTTGATGGCAGTGACTTTGGTATTTTTTTTAGGAGTTTCTTGATCCTATTCTTCACAAGACTAAGGTCCAACTTTAAGATAAGTAGTTGAAGTTAATTGAAGTTTAGTCCACTATAGGAATTACTTTCCCATTTTCTAGAGAGTCAGATAAGAGAATTAAAAACCAAGGACTGTATGCTAAATACTGAAAAGTCAAGAAATTTAGGAAGTAAAATTTCTCTAGGAACTCCAGTTTCAATCACATTTTCACACACTTTTTAAGATATTTACTTAGAAGTGATGTAACTGTGGAGCTAATAAAAAAGGGAATAGGAATTAGTTCGCAGCTCGTTTTGCATTTTTGTACATTTAGAAGGGGTTTAGTTGATTCCATTACTGGTAGCATTAAATCCATTATTTGCCAATATAAATTGCTTTTTAAAAAAAGACCTAGGAGTATTTTTGGAGTCCCTGTCTTCAGATCAATTAATACTGAAGATAAGACTTTGAGTGACACGTGTTAAGACTAATTACCACATATTTAAGACAAAGGGTCTCAAAAGTTAACTAAACTGCGCCCATGCATTAGCTCACTCCATTGCAATGTAAGCTTTCCAAAGGTAAAGGTTTCTTATTGTGTTTGTTTGGTGCGTATTCCCAGCCTAGCTCACTGCAATCTTTCAATAATTGAGTGGCCTGTTCATTCATTTATCAATTCAACCTGTACGTCCTGCTGCCATAGGACTGGGCGGTCGCAATGCTGTGGCCTGCGACAAGGTCGGCCTGCAGCGTCCCTGTCTACATCGTACCTGTGCTGCTCTCAGCCCCCAGGGCCACAGTCCCCAAACCCAGGAATATCCGGCAGTCGGGCCCAGCTCTCTGCCCGCCGGTGGCCTCCCCAGCTCTTTCCTTCCCGCGGAGGAAGGAGCGGGGCGCCGAGGAGTGGGAAACGCGGGCCCACTTCCTGTTCGGGTAGGGCTGGGCGTCCGCGTCCCCCGCGGCCTGCTTTTTCAGTGCAGCGGTGAGCCGCTGGCCCAGAGAATGAGGCGAGGCTCTGCGCGAGCGCAGGGCAAAGAGAACCCGGGCCTTCCTTGCCGCCGGGTCGCCGTCTCCTTCTCCCGCGCGTCCCCGGTGGCGAGAGGGTTAAGCGTGCGGGGGGCGGGGCCGGGCGAGCC